TGTCCTTCAGCAGAGCTCTGGGAGAGAAGGAAAGGAAGCACACTGCTCTGGGGAGGAGCAGACAGCATGGGGAAAGACTAGCTCAAACAGTGGTCTGGACTTTGGAGTTATCCAATGTCCCTGCTTTTGGCCACAACAGATCAGCAGGAAGTACTGCCAGCCAGAGACAGAGATCATTATAGTGTATAGGACAAGACCTAACAGATGGGTGAGCTGTGTAAAAAGGTATCTGAGAGGAATCACTATGATCAGGGAACAAGTTTGGAACTCATTCTAGGGGAATAGATGTAAAGAGTCAAAACCTAGAGACAAAAGATGGCTGGGGTTACAAAGAGGGGCTGGAGAAATGTCTGAGTGGCTAAGAATACTTGCTGCATAAACATGAAGACTTGATTTCAAACACTAGCAGCAATGTTAAAAAGCCTGGTGTGGTTGTGTCTGTAACCCAGCAATATGACGTGAAAGAAACAGGACGATTCATTGGGGCTTGCTTGATGCCAGCCTAGCTCCAGGTTCAGTGAGAGGCCCTGGCTCAAAGCAATAAGGGAAGAGTGACAGAGCAGGATGTGCAACACACTCCTTTGGCTTCTACTCCTACACAAGGTACACACACATATACACACACCATACACATGCACTGCACACGAATATATTACAAAGAAAAATCTGGTAATACTCGATAATTGGATGGTAAAAAGGGAGAGACAAGGATAATTTTATGGGCACAAGCTAGCTACAAACAGAAATAGAACAAAGAATAAATTAAGAAAGTGGAATTAAGGAAGGGTGGGACAGCATGATGTTTAACACAAAGCTGAGCAGGACAGCTAAAAGAAGAGGAGCTATGACAAGCAAGCAAAAGCCTGCCTCTGTGAGAACAACAGGCTAGTTAACTCCATTACTGTGAGAACTAGGTCTCCATCATGCTTCTTATAGGCATTCAGTGGTTCTTAGTCTGTGAGTAGCAACCTCTTTTGGGGGTCAAACAATGCTTTCACAGGGCTAGCATATCAGATACTTACATTACAATTCATAAAAGTATCAAAGTTACAGTTATGTGTGGTGATATTTTATTTATGCTGAAATGTGATTTTTATTTGTATGTTAATAAATAAAGTTTGCCTGGAGATCAGAGGTCACAGTGAGCCATAAGACAGAAATCAGGCAGTGGTAATACACTCCCTTAATCCGATTACATGGCAGGCAGAGTCTCTGTGTGGTCAAGGACACAGCCAAGCGTGGTGACACATGAACCTTTAATTCCAGTACCAACCATAGAGACTGGAGCTCTGTATAGACAGGCAGTGACAAGGAAGTGATGTAGCTGGGCTTAGAGCCAATGAGAAGGCAGAACAGGAAGGCAATAAAAGCGCAGGTTAGACAGGAAGAAGCTCTCTCTGGGGAAGCTACTGAGTGGTGGTAAGCTAAGTAATGGCTACTGCGTGGTGGTAAGGCTAGTCATGGCTATTCGCTATTTCTCTGATCTCTTGGGCTATTACCCTGTATTTGGCTCTGTGTTTCTTATTTAATAAGACTATTTAGAAATTTGTCTACAGTTATGAAAGAGCAATGAAAATAATTTTATAGTTGGGGTCACTACAACATGAAGAATTGTATTAAAGGGTCACAGCACTAGGAAGGCTGAAAACCACTGCACTAAATGCTTAATAAATATTTACCAGCCAGATGGCTATGTAGGTCTATAATCCTTAAAGGCTAAGGCAGGTAGATTGTGAATTCAAGACCAGCCTGGGCTACACAGTGAGATAACTTCTGTCTTAGTTAGGGTTTCTATTGTTGTGAAAAGACACCATGACCACAGCATTTGTTATAAAGGAAAAAACGTTTGATTAGGCTTGCTTACATTTTCAGAGGTTCAGTCCATTATCATCATGGCAAGACATGGTAGCATGCAGGCAGACATGGTGCTGGAGAGGTAGCTGAGAGTTCTACATCTCACACAGGCAGGAGAAAATGGTCTGAGTCATGGTTGTGGCTTGAGCTACAGAAGACCTTCAAGCCCGCTTCACAGTGACATAAAGCCCACCTCAAAGTGACACATTTCCTCCAACAAGGCCACACCCATCCCAACAAAGCCACATCTCCTAATAGTGCCACTTCCTTTGAGGGCCATTTT